AGTAGGTAGTGTCGCAAGAAGATCTGGATCAGGAAGAGCGCGAGCTACAACCGTCCAGGAAGACCGTTATATCAGATTGACTGCACGTCGAGAGCGTACAAATCCCGCCCACGTCTTGCAAAATCGACTGCGGCAATCGTCTTATTAATTAGTGATCAAACCATTTGAAATCGGCTCCATGAAGACTGACAACGTTCCAGATCTCGTGTTATTCGTCTAAAATTACCAAGAGCGCATCGTTCAGCACGTTTGAGGTTTGCTCGCGAGCATGCGGAGTGGACAATGGACAACTGGAGAAATGTACTCTTTATCGACGAAAGTAAAGTGAAGTTTTTCAGCGATGATCGTCGAGTGCGCGTGTGGAGAAGAGAATGAGAACGTTTTCCAGAACCTTGCATACATGAAACGGATCGTTTTGGAGGTCCAAATGTTGTGATGCATAAACAGCTGGTAATTCTGGTAGAAGGCTCCATAACTGCCTCATGGTATGTTGATCGAATAATTCGGTCCCATGTCATCCCATTTTCACAAAGAGTGGGTGAAAACTTCTTCTTAATGCAAGACAATGCTCGCTCACATACAGCGCGAACAACTCAGCTCTCTCTGAAGCCAATATTACGGTTTTACTGTGGCCGGCCATGAGTCCCGATCTTAACTCCATTGAACATTTATGGGACCAGTTGAAAAGAAGCCTCATATCGTACTTAAGTAATGTAACTAATCGACAAGAGCTCTTAAACACCCTAAAATTGTGTTGGGAGCGAATACCCGAGTAAAACATCACCCACTCGATTGAAAGTGTCCCAGATAGATTCAGAGAGTGTATACGGAACAGATTAGAACCTACTCGCTATTAAGCACCATCAAACTCAATGATTTAGTCAATAATAAAAATCTAAATCAAACTTTACAAAATCAAAAATTACTGTAAACTTTCCTAAAACATTTTGACTAAATTCCATAAAATTGGCAAAACTTACTCTTGTTAATGTTCACACACTTTCAAAAACCTTAATTTATTCATTCCTAATCATAAAAACTGAAAAAAGAATAAGAATCTGTAAAATTCATTTATAAAACATGGTGGACCCTATTTTGTTTTGAGTAGTTTAGTATGTATTTACAGTATCTAGGTATTTAAAAAGTACTCTGTCTGTGGTCATAGCTCACGGTATTTATATTTTTGATAATAATTAAAGTAATAAATTCACAGGTTTAATATATATATTGTGGTCTTTATTCACAGCACAGATTAAGTTAGACCCACATTCACAGAGTACTTTTTGTATACCTGAAACACATTCCACGGGTAAAATTAGAATTAGAATGAAATCAAAAACAACTTTTCGATTGCAATTAGGTTTTGACACAAATAGTGTTGGATTATATAATAGTATTAATGAACAAATATAGTTAATTAGTATTAGTAACAAATAATCTTTTATTATTGTTTACGTGAATTTATCATTGTCTGATTATGTGATTGATTGTGTACTTATGAGGGTGACTTGATCTAGTAGATCTAACCCTCTATAATAAATAAAGATTTAAAAAAAAACCTATTCGATATATTTGGATGCGTTCATAAATATTTATTTTATTAAAATATTTATATTTGAATAAAATAAATATTTATGCGTTCAAATTATCAATCAAGTACGACTGGTTCTTTTTGCGTCCGCCAACAGCAAAAAATTAAAAAACTGCGGTATCTAACTTCTTAACCCAGCCAGTTTAGGAACTTTATCGCTAGTTCTTGAATCAGATGAATCAGTCCGATTCGAGAGGTTTTTGGATCGATTCATCGAATCGATGCGGTGCTCTGAATCGATCTATAACATCGATTATTTTACTCTAGTTAATCGATTTTTCGATTAATCGATTTTAGATCGACATGCCTACAGAGAATGTACATAGTCAGTAAGTCAGTAATCTATGCCATAGATAAATAAATATGTAGCAAGCTAATCTATGCAGAGAATTTTCAACAATAATGAATTCAAAAGTGATGAACAGGTTTTATTTTTTTTATGTACCTGTGCTGTACAACACGTACGAATTAACTTGAGACTCCGCTGGAATGCGACCCCCTTCCCGACTCCCCGCACCGCGTCCCGCGCTGGCCGTGCGCGCTCAGTACCGATAGCATTTTTGTTACGGATACGCGTCTCGACTCTAGTTCGATATTTTTGATAATTGTTTGTTGTTTGGTTTGGACTTGTGTTTGTTTTTGTTATACTTGAACGTTATTTTATCTGTTTGTTGTTAATTGCGTTGTTTTATTGTTAAGTTTGGACGTTGTGTTGTGCCGTTTTCTTGTGACGCTTAGGAGTTACTCCGCCTTTTTTTATTTTTAAAATTTTTTATAGTGCAATAAAGTGTATAATAAATAAATTAATAATATTATAAATGAGAAAGTGTGTATGTTTATTTCTTTGTCCTTCCTTGACGCGTCAACTAAAAATAATATTATATATATATTACAAAAAATAAATATTTAAAATATATAAAAATGGCAACAGTATATCACTTATTACTGCACCCCTTGCCAGAACATTTTATTTTGTTTTTATTAATAATCTCATGCAAATCTCAAAAATTTCAAATAAAAAAATATTACGACGCATTATTTTGCACACCGTACATTGACAATTACGTCATCGGCCCAGGTCTCAAGCTCTCAAGATAATTCGTACGAGTTATACATTTACAATACAACAAAAAAGAAAGAAATCGAGATTCTGGACGCGCGTGCAATGTGTTTGACAGTGATTCGCAGTGAAATACGAGATAGAGACTAAAAACTGTCCTCCATGACGAATAAAGAAAGTTAAAAGAGTGATACATGAGAAAATTCTACCAATTGCATAATCACATTAAAAGCCAAAATTGTATTAAATGTTTTAACTAATGACAATAAAGTAAGTAAATTATCCAAGAAAATAACATCAACATTTGCGCTGTTATTACAAGCTCAAATTAGAAATTAAAAGAAAAAGGACACATGAAAATTATAGCCTTGTGGATTTATAAAAGGTCGCCCACCGTTACAGGCTACTCAGGCTCTATTATAGGATTAACTGAGGACTCTTTGCTGTTGGAATCAATCAACCAGTTTTTAAGGCCTGGCAGATTTTTTAAATACTATAAAACCATCAGACAATCAATTTACATTGATATTTGATGAAATCTTTTTAAAAAAATGTGATGTATAATCCAAAAGAAGATTTGATTGAAGTGTATTAGGATCATTGTACACAAGGATGATCTTCAGTCGTTGCATCATATTCATAAGTATTTATGATTGTTATTATTAGGAAGATTGAAACAGCCCATTACCCACTATTTCTCCAATGCATTTTTAACTACAAATCAACTTACTGAACTAATAAAAGAGGTAATTATAAGTACTTTGTATGATGTTTCATTTTATTTCAACAGTTGAAATTAAAGTTGATTATAAAAGCTCAATGGTTGTAAAACATATTTAATTTTTGATTTCAGGTCTTGAATCAGTTATAGGTGGCATAACTTCCAGGCTCTCAGGCTGGGATGAATATATCTGCAATAGTCTGTGACATGGATGGAGTAAATTTACAAGTTCTCTCTATCTTGGGTGCAAATATGCAACAACTATATTTTGCATTCCATAACAAAGAGATGACCCTTTGATACACCAGCAATGGGGTTAATGCATTTCACATTGAAATAACTTTGTTTTGCAGAAGAGAGCCATGAGAGCACTTTACAACCTAAGTCCGAAGGAGTCTTTTCAATAAAGTTTTTTAGAAGTAAATATATTAATTATAGCATTTTAGTAATTTTACGAAAATTTTATGTATGTTTTTTTATTAATTTTTGTTTTTGTTAATTTAATGTACGCAAAAACAACAATAGTTTTTATTATATAATATACAAGCTAGTTATATCAATTATTCCACTTCAAAGAATAAGTTCATGGGGCAAAGTATATGCTTTTACAACAAGTCATAAAATATGCAGCCTATTAAAAACTGAAAATTTTTAACTAAGCAAAGTTGTTTAAAAAAGGTTATTACAATAAAATATATGATTGATAAACCCCTGGGAATGGGGTGATTAATATTGTTTCTAAATGTTTTAATATGTAATTGTAAAACATTATATTTTAAATAACATTTGTTTTCTACAAAGGACAGAGGCTTTTCCCAAACAAGTAAAAGCATTAATTACTTAATGAGTTTTGTAATCAAGTATTCTTTAATAAGTTTTGTAGTTTTGAATAAAATTTATTCTGCGTCGTAATTGCAAGCATATAATATAGAGACAACATTTTAAGGTTAAATCAGAGATATAAATAGACAACCAATTATCAAAATGAAATTATTTGCAGGTTTTACTCTGCTCTTGTGTACATAAGCTTATTTATTATTTAACTTGGTTTTTGATTCAAATATTGCTATTTTAGGTATTGTAGACATGCTAGAGTTTTTAACCCTTAAAGACTACAATGAATTTGTATACTATAATAAATCCGGGTGTTTTTACACCCATTGTAGTCTTAGCAAGACTTCAATGGGTGTAAAAACACCCAGATTTATTTATTACAGAAAATTATATGAATGAACAAATATATTATTGTTTTTTTTTAAATATTATTAAATTATGTATTTATTCATTTATAGATTTATTTTTGTAAATAACAATTTAAATTGCATGTTCAAAAAATCTTCCCAAAAACATGGTAAATTCGAAGGGGTTTGAAAAATAATTGAAAAAAAAAAAGAAAACTAGTACGAGTTTTTAATCAGTTTTTATATTTTTAATTATCATAAATAAGCCTTGAATTTGGTATATTATTTATTCTTATATCTAAAAAAACATATGAAATTATCAAATCAAAATGATAACTAGATAATTTTTGTTTTAAATGATTGTAACACAAAATAAATATAATGTGACCTTCTTTATACTAATTATAAAGAAAAATAATGAAAATTACCAATTACTTCTAAATTGCGTTATCCTTTGGTTAACAAAATATTACTACTATAGTTAACGCACACCAAACTACGGTGTAGTTTACAAATAAACACTGAACAATTCGAGCATTTAGCTGTGAACTTTTTATCTCCTTTCGGTTTACAAATTCCGCATCTGCCTTGTTTAGCTTTCGTGGCCCTCTCTTGTGAACCTTCTTCATTATCAATTTGTGAATCTCTCAAGGACTCTGTATTATCAACTCTTCGAATGCTGGTACCCGACAGAGTACCTTGATTATCAGAGTCTAGCTTTCGGTGTTCACTGATCACACTTTCGATTTTGTCTCTAATCTTGTGCCGTAAGTTTGGAATTTTGAGTCTGTCTTTTATGTATGGTAACATTAGATCCAGTGACAACTTGTATAGGAATTCGGCTCGAGATGCCTGGCTTTTGCCATTCCTATTGTTGTTGTTATTGAGAATCATGTGAGAATATATTCCTGCTACATCCAACATGTTGTAAAAAATAGCCAAGGGCCATCTTTTTGTTCATCTCGAACAACTGTAGCTATGACACATCTGATCAACAGCATCCACTCCTGCTTTAGTAGAATTATAGTATTCAATAACCTCTGGCTTCCCGCTTGTTTCTGATATTGCTGATTCATGGTGCATATTCGACAAAAGTATCACAATCTTATTTTTTTTGGACAATACGTAGAGAGCTGAAGTTTATCATGTGTATTGTATAAAAACACTGAACTTCCTATAGGACGATTCTTCATTACAATAGTGTCTTGCGGTATCTCCACTTTGTTCTTGCGCGTGGTACCAACCATTGTTAGTTTGTGTTTATTCAGCATATTATTTGCCATAGGTACAGATGTGAACCAGTTGTCACAGGTTATGTTTATATTTGTACCATGAACAGATTTTGTCAAATTTTCAACATAATACTCTGCAAGAGGTTTGCTTCCATTTGGCGTCCTTTTTCCTAGATAGGGCATTCCAGATATCACGTACCGATCATAAGAATTACACATGAGGACCAGTTTCAGACCATACTTATCTGGTTTGCTAGGAATATAGATTCGAAATTTGCATCGTCCTCTGAAACCCACAAGTTCTTCATCAATAGTACAATTTACGGATGGACGATACAGATCAGCGATTCCCAAATACCACGGATATGTGCAAATTCATCTGTACTTTTTCTGATGTCCCTATATGGTCATCAAACCGTAAACAATTGGTTAGAAATTTGTAACGCTCTTTTGACATGATGGCCTAGTAAATTTCATAGAGATGCTCCACAAAAAATTAGTTGATACTCTGTTATCTTTCTTTACTGCAGTCGGATACAAAAGGCCAAAAATCGCTTTCAGCTCTGAGATGTCAACATCTTTTTTATATGAAGTTTGCGGGCCATAATTTGCTTTTTGTTTAGCGATTTCCTGATTAGAATGAACAAGTATAGTATCAATAATTTTTTTATTGAAATACAATTCAAACGCATCCAGTTCTGTAGTCACTTCTTTGGCAACACCCACAGGACCTGGTAAATATGGGACTATATTCCTACCAGGAGTTCGATGAGGAGGCGGTGGCTTAGTACTCCATTTGTAGGTAGGGTATCCTTGCTTTTCCTTGCCCTTCAAAACTCTTTTTTGGGGCAACAACATGTTTCCAATACAAGTAAAATGTGTATTACCTAATTTTACTTGTCTTCCATCCAGTGGAGAAGGAGACTCATCAACTTCCATCTCCAACTGAGCTTCTGATATATTAGAAGTAGTGTCATCGTCGACACTTTGTGCATCTTCATGAATATCCATTTCTACAGAGTCCTCTTCTGCCGACTCTTCATCCGATGCCAGCAGTGCATCTTCTATTGCTTGTTCCCTCAGTTGCTGCATAATCTGAGATAAAAATATCATAATATACATTTAAATACAATAACACATCAAATAAAAATAATAAATACAATATACATAATAATACACACACGAATATCATATTCTATACACTAGTACACACGTACTAAAAATAAAACATAAAAAGTTAATTACCTAAGTTGTAACCCACTATGACTACAATGGGTGAAAAAAACACCGGGTCACGAGTGTACAGGCCCGGTCAACTCTGTATGGACAGAATGAAATACCTACGGGGGCTGAATTTTATTATTGCCATTTGTCAGATAAATGTCTTGTATCATAATTAGTAAGATTTTGCTAAAGATAAATTACACTCAAAAATTTTGAATACAGAAATAATAATCAATAGGAAGATAACTATGCCTGTCGTATTTTTCTACATTATTATATTAGCATATCCTTGACAGTAAAAGAAAAATAAATGTTCTCTTTTTGTTTTGATTTTCAATGAGTAGAAAATTATATTTTTTACTGGTAACACCAAATACCTAAATGAGTATATATTTCTCTTTTCTCATAATATGGCGTCGCCGTATAAATTATTGTTGTTCATGATTGGTTGTTATGTTTGTTTTGCTTGTGTCTTTTACTAAGATTTTGCAAGTTTACGATGTTGAGTTGAGATTAATGTCCTTCATTTATATGATGTGCAATGTGTTAGTCAAAGAATCGTAGTGAAATACGAAATAGTGACTCTTAAAAACTACGCTGCATTGGCGGATAAAGAAAATAGAAAAAGTGTTCTAAGTGCAACAGCATACCAACCATTGACAACGTTAAATTATTTAGGTTTCCGAAATTCGCAGTAAAGTATATTTTGCGGTACGTATACGATATACATATACACTATTTAATAAGTTCTAACCTTAAAGTAAATCTCTTGTCCAACTTATTGTTTCTCTTTTACCATTTAAAAACAAATTATTGGTTTGTAAACCATTAATTTGTTTTTAACCTACTTTGATAATATTTGTATTTAATAATTATAATCTTTTGTTTTCAGTTGTAAATTATGGGCGAAATATTATATTCCTTCCCAAGAGCAGTATACTACTTTAGCTTTCCAAAGCTACATAATAAGCCCAGAATGCTGTGTGAAAAACATTTTCATGATGGTTAATTTAATGATGCAACCAAGAAAAAGCTCTTAAGCACTGCAGTCCCATGTGATGTAAGTAAAGTGTATAATGTATATGGTAATATGGTATGTATATAGTTTTCTTTAAGGATTACTCAGATATTTTATATGGGGATTACTATATTCAGGAGTAGACTTTGATAGACTGTAAAGAAGATGATGATTATTCATATGACCATCATCTGGATCTTACATGGATGGACAGACCACATACAGTAGTTTGAATCCTGTTAATTCTTTCAACTAATTTATAATAATTGGATCGGACAAAGCATCCAAAGGATTGAAGTCTATAAAGTTAGCACAAGCCTTTCCTTACATTATTAAAAGTGCAACACACTGCATATTATTTTTAACAATCAAATTTTATTTTAAAACAACAACAAACCTTAAGAAAGTTCCGGCATCACAATATATGAATAATTACATTTGGTCCTAAACCTATCAAATTTAAAGGCACAACTTGTACAACGCAGTAGAAATACATGCATCAAATGGTTCTCAAACAATAGATAAACACAAGATTTCTTTTCACATAGTTATTGTATTTACTATCTTATTTTGTTATATTAATTGTAATAGTGGGTGTATTATAGAGCAAGTTGGATGAACAAGATCCATTCATTTATTTTGTATTGGTAGAAGGGTAATGTAGTGCCATCAGTAGGGACTGGTTTACTATGAAAGTAATGTCAATGAATATAATGTTAATTTAATTGTATATAATAATTTTATGATACTATAATTTATTTCAGTTTTTATTTATTTCCAGACTAACAAAGTGTATTCCCATTTTATTTTGTGGAATCACAAGCTGGTCCCTCGCAAATTATTGCTGCAAACCACAAGCAGGATCTTCAAAAAGGACAACATTATATCCACTGAAGAACAACCACAAACATCAAAACATAACACATAATGTTGAACCTGAAAAAGAAAGTATGTATCTCTATATGAAATTTTTTAAAATGAAATAAGGAATATTTTTGTAATCTATTATTTAATATGTTTTATAATTTTGAATAAAAATTATTCTATTTATAAGCTGCATTCAATACTTAATATATTGCAATATAGAGACAAAATTTTTAGTGTCAATTCAGGGAAATAGATAGACAACCAAATATTATCAAAACAAAATTATTATTTGTGAATGTTGCACTTTGCACTTGTGTGTAGGAGCTTATTTATTAATTAACTTGTTTTAGATTAAAATATATTATTATATTAGATATTTTGGTTATTGTAGACAATCATTGTGCATATTATCAATTCATCCATGATTGTAAATCTTATTTCAATTCTTTATCATTGTTTACTTAAGTAATTGAAATGTTGTAATCATTATTGATTTTCTTTTCATGTTTAAACACATCAAATATCTTTATAGAAAGAACTAAGCTGCTGGAGAAATTGTTTCTTAAGTTATGTATGTTTTTTATTTCAATTTGTATTTTTATTTTGAATAAATAAATAGAAATTTTGTAATTTTTGTTCTTTTATTTAGCGCTGGGATAGGAAACCTAAAAATACCTCAAATAAAAAAAACAAAAAAGACCACATTCAAATTTTCCCGCCACACAAGAAGTGCAGGAGGCTGACGATAGATGGCGCTAGTGGTTATATATCTCATTTCTTAAATTTTGTATGAAGTTGTCGTTCTTCTCCGATAGGAGTAATAGTGTTCTGTGCGAGTGTATCTCGGGACGGGCGCTCGCGCGTAACCACTCTCCCCGCGTCCTCGAGGGCTACTGAGCAGTGTGACCAGATTTCATTTGACGAATCTACTACTCTTGGAGGTTAAAAGCTACTGAATTCTACCAAAAGAGAACGAGAAAATACTAAAAATCTATTATATTTTTTTGCCGTCGTGTTACAACGCAAAAAGGTAAGGTAAGGTGTTTTCTTGATTAAACGAAAAAATAACAAAGAAACCACCATTAATTAAAGAAACTAATGTTTTTTTAATTAAATTCTAAATAAAAATATAATTAAAAAATAAATAAAATGAAATTTAAAGTTCGTCTTTATGTTAGGTAACATCGTCATAAAGCTGTTTTGAATCCATTAACTTGATCATACTTCTGTCAGGAACAAATCTGCTACATTGTCCTTCCAACTGTCGTAGCCCCTCTTTCGGGTAAATTGACATACTTTGGTTTGCTATCCGCATCACAGATTTGGCTGACTTCACTCCAAAATATATCCACCATAAATGTTTCAGACGTCGAACTAGAAATTGACAATAAATTAGACATGGAAACATCTAATTTTAATTCCCTATATTCATTGTTAACAATTTGCATGTTTTCTGTTGCAACTAAGTTAGTAAATCTTTGGAGTATTCTTATCAGAGTTCGAAATTCACCATTCACTGCTTTTTGGGGATCGATGAACGACAAATCCTACAAATAATTTCGTCTTAAATTCGATTATAAAAATTCTCAATTAAGGAATTTCTACTAGTCTATCACACTATGCGCAGAAAAAGACTAATAAAACTGTGTTGTCTAATAATTATAGGAGCAACTTAAAAATGATTTAAGTTGAAAGACCTATTTTATAAAAAAAGGTCTATCTATTGGGAAATGACATTTAATTTGCTATGTCCACAGTAATGTTCATTCAATAATAAGGAAATCCCCCAAATCACTTTCGTGTGCTGCCAACTGTAAAATTAAAACTTTTTGGACATAGATGCTTGCTTTTAAGCCTAATATTTTTGACAGCGAATTAATACCAAAACATACCGATGTGTTTCTCATTTCTACTAAATTCTACTAAGACATTTTATCCTACTAGATTATCGTCTTGTTTGCTTCAAATCTACTAAAAAAAGTAGAAATCTACTAAAAGTGGTCACGCTGCTACTGAGTAATAGTGTTCTGTGGCTACTGTCGATACGATATACGAGAACACAGTACACGAAATCTCAAGGCGCTGCGTTAAAACTGAAAAAAGATACAGGTACAAAATTAAGCCACTCGGGGTGTAAAAACACCGTAGTAGCCTTTAAGGGTTAATTGTGCATGTTATTATCAATACATTCATTTATCCTTTTTTACATAGGTAATTGAAATATTGTAATCAGTATTGATTTTTATTTTCTTGTTTTAACTCATCTAATGACATAATTAAAAACTAATTTTGCAAAACAAATTTTGCCTCCCTTCAGTAGTGTTCTAGTGTTATGCAAGTTTGAGAAATGTAATTTTGTACCTTAGAATCACCTACTATTAGGCCAGTATACATATAGGTACTAGTCGCCGCGGCGATGTCGGATGCATGGCTGCCACATTCCGTCTGGACTGTAATACTAAGCCTGCAAGACCCAACGTTGTAGGCTAAGTATAACTTAACACCCTTTGGGTCCAGACTAATAAAATGATAAATATTGTTGCCATTATATACATATTATATTATATTATATTTTTCAGAGTAATCGAATTCGAAACTTAAGCTTAAATACATAAATAACGATATAATGTTATTGCAGTTTTTGAAAATATCAGTAAATAAAGCTTCTTCTTTTATTTGCAACTATCCTAAATTGAATCCGATTTATGAGCAACAACGTTTTTGCCTACGGATCGACTAACATGTTTCAAAAATAAGCAAGCTCTAACTAAGTTTTAATGTCTTTATCTTACGAGGAAACTGAAAAATTATCACTCACACTCATATACTACACACTGGCATCTACGTATTAATTTTACACTTACTTCTAAACTTGTAATATTTGTTTATGATTAACAAATCTCCAATATTAAATGAACATTTTGCATATTATATTTTATTGTTTTAAGTAAATGAAATATTAACTGTGTCACTACTCATTAAG